TGTATATACATATAATGATGGATTTATCATATGTTATATGTACGTATCTACTCAAAATTTTCACTTATGTAACCTGTCACGTCATATTTGAACGTATATAGATAAAAATTGTATGTATTCGTGTCAATGTCAGGTCGCGTGAGACCGTTGCACGAGTTTGGCCTAATTTGAGACCACTTCTTGATCTGCAATCATATTCGTCTCATTCAAGCAAATATTGATAAAGGAAGAGAATTACTATATATTTTCAATCTTATATCTCTTTAAATGTGATATAAGACTCTAGTTGATGATATTGATTTTGACTGTTATGGAAAACTTTAATTAATTAAGCTATATATGATATATCAATTAGGCCTCTGCTATAACCTTTTATACCTATACATGTACATTACATTAATATTATATCAGTCCAGCCCCGTCGCCAGGAATGAATTGGTGCCGGGGCTCAGATTTTGTAATCAGAAAATCTGAAAAATTAAAGGCCCAGATAGCTCATTTCTGACAATTTGGAGGTGCCAAAACGTATCAAAATCTATATCTTTTTGATTTTGTACAAAGACATTGTAAATGAATCAATCTCTGCTGAACTGAAGAAGGTTGAGCTGGGGTTTAATTCTCACTTGATGGGGCACAGCCCCCATGGACCCCACCCTAGCGACAGGGCTATATATCACATAGGTATAACATCTATTTTTGACCAATCATTCTTTAGTCACACCCCTTGGTAGAAATTTGAGCCTCAAAATCCATGTGTTTCCAGAATTATCTGCATTTGAATGTTCAAATTAGACTCGTCATTTTAAAGGGATTGTAAGGAGGTTTTCTTAACTTTTTATGTGTATCAGGGACACTGATAGTATCAACTTGCATCATTCCAATTTTCAGTCAGATGTCCGTTGTTCTTGCAATTCCACTAAAATTAACGCGTTTTATGACATCACTAGAGGGGAGCTACGGGAAGCTACTACTCATACTTGACAAGGGGCTTCGGAAACCAAATTAAGACCCTGCAGAACAGAAGCCCCTTACTGGGCTTAGAATATGCCTTTGATCAGACTTTGCACTTCGGTATAGGACTGGGGATACAAGAAACTTTTCTAAAAAAAAACCAAAACACTTTGGATTGTAAAGGGGAGCCATCTTGAAAGTTTGAAGAGCAGGTACTCTGTAGAAGAATAACAAAAAAGATACCGGTACCCTAATAATGGGGCATGTTGTCGTATTGTTGACACCTTGACTGTGTAAAATTAGGACATCATGTTATAGGCCTAGACTACTTATGGAGTGCTCAACACTGTTATTCAGTATCTAGATCTTCAGGTATTCTGCAAATAATAAAAATCACATTACAAATAGTATGAATACCATTTATTTGCACTTTGCATGCTTCAATATATCATAATATTATACATTTTACAATTAACAGAGTTTTTATACTGGCATTATTCATTGACATTGATAACATTTTAATTACTGAAGGCTACTGATTGAAATTAGCCATTATTGGGTCGTTGGCAGGGGTAGAATATAAGAGATAAACATTAGCTATACGACCAATTATTAAGGTGAGACTTCTCAGTCTGAAGAGTTCAAACACGAATGAAACTAGTCTCTGATAATCAGGGATAACTGGTGAAATAGCCAATCTTTATCTCTTATAAGAATCTAAGAATCGAGGTAATACCTTATCACTTTTGAATTTTTCAACCTGGTTCCCCAATGTCTGTGATGCAGGTGATGTAGACTTCTTCGAAGTTCACAAGTGCTACAAACTGTGCTAGATAAAGATTCCTCGACAGATAATAAAAGAAAAAATGTGGGTTAATGCAACTGTCGTAACAAAATGTCCCCTCATTGTGCACTGCATGACATTGCCCATCTTCATTATCCCAATCAGGTGCTGGAAGGTATGAACTCCATGTCTGTTCAACATAGTCTTTTTGTATACAGACAAATGCATCACTTTGATGACTCAAAACACACATATTTTCTCAAAATGAAACTAGTTTAACTAATCAATAGTAGTAAATCTCCTTCAGACCCAGACTTCCAGAAAAAATTGACAACAAAAAAAAATTGGCGACATTATCAGTTACTGTTTGGTTGGAATCATGCTTATTATAGAGAAAAAAAGAAATAAATTAAGGATTCCAAAGAACTTTCAGGAATTATTGGGAATAATTATGGCTTCTGGTAATTTTAATATGATCACATTACAAGTTTGTCTGATGGTTTTCAGCACCAAATTTCTCAAGGATTTCTCACTTCTATGAATTCACCTTTTTTTGCATCTTTGTAGCCTATACAAGTGGAGGAAGCTCAGTGATTCATTTGTAGCAGCCACATTGTTTATTGTGTTGACTAGAGCCTTAAAGGGATAGTAAAGAGGTTTTCGAAATTTTTATGTGTAGCATGGACACTGATAGCATCAATTTGCACCATTCCAATTTTCAATCAGATGTCTGTGGTTCCTGCATTTTTCACTTAAACTAAGTGTTTGATGATGTCACTAATCGTGAAGTGTTTTTAGTAATAAAGCAAACACTTAGTTTTAGTGGAATTGCAGGAACCACAGACACCTGATTGGAAATTTGTATGGTGAAAATTGTTTCCTTGCACCCCTGATACACATGACTTTTTTTTAAGAAAATCTTTTTTCAAAATCTTTAATCTTTCAGAAAACTTCTAAAAAGATATTAAGGTCCTACTTTTTCAATCTTACAATTAATGTATAGTATTTGCTTTCATAAAAAAATTTTTGATTCAAAATTTGTGAAATGAAAGAAGGACAGAAACAACTATATTTTACAAGGATAACAACTTAACTTCATAGTTAAGGATCCTTTCTATCAGCTGGTCCTTGGCCAAACCTGTTGTCATTGATCTTTCCCAGATTATTCGTACCCATTTACAGCTGGGTACACTGGAATTATGAGTGAAGATGACTTATTTAACGTCATCACAAGCCGAATGAAAATTGAACCAAAAGCCACCATTTGCTAACCAAGTCAATGACATTATGTTAAGAATCAATGCTCTTACCAACTGTGTGCTATAGAACCTCATGATAAGTAAGTAACTATTGTAGGTTGATAATAGCATTAAGAAGGAAGAATTAGTACTAGTATTTCCTTATATAGCATTCGTTGATGAAAGTTGTCAAAAGGATTGATAAATATGATTTAAAATAAAGTCTTAATTAGTATAAAAAGAAACTTATATTTTAACTATGAATAAAAATTTTGCAAGAATGACATGAACTGATATAATTATTACACTAGTGTTTAAGGATACAGGCCTGATACAAGCTAGCTCAAATACATAATTTTCAATGAATGGAAATAGTTACTAGAAAAAGGAAATGAAATGGAGTTTTACGTCCTACTTTTCTGCACCATGTGGGCTAATGAAGATGGGCAACGCCATGCAGGGTACAATTTTGCCAGGACAGCGGCATTAGCCCGCTCTTTTTCGATCTCCAACTGTAGAGGGATCTTCTACGAGCATAGTCTGTAGCATGTTGATCACTTCGCTGATATTTAGCGCCTTAAATTGATGCTAATTTAGATAAATATTTAAACAAGTATTCGAGTTGAATTATAAGGAATGACCTGAACATTTTCTATTATCAGTAATAATTTGTAAACAATATAAAAAGCTGTTGTTCTATAGAAAAACTTGTGAAAATCTACATTAAATATATTTTTTTTAGAAAGACGTGAAATTTGATTACACATAGAAGTGATTATTATAACATTGAGTTATTTCACTATTCGAATAGTCTTGAATTTCAAGTTGATTAAATGTGATAACATGAAGATTAAAAGGGAACAGTTGGTAAATTAGTGTTGGGCATCACCGTACTTTCGTTTTGTTAGTATCACGACTCTGTGACCTCTGAACTATTGGCTGCACACGCAGAATTTGATGGAACCGGAGACGTGACTTAAAAGGTGTAGGGAGACTGAACTACAAAAATATTCATCATACCTGGGTTTTGGCAGATTCGAGGTATTCGTTTAAAAACCCTGCACCTGTAGAGATGAGAAATGTCCCCACTTAACAGGGAATACAATTTCTGTCCAAATAGCTATCAGAGTCTGGAGAAAGATGTTTGGGTGTAGCCAGCTATCTTAAAGTTATAGAGATGACAGTAAAATGATTATTCGAATACTGTCTGATAAATTTTGATTTTAGCTAATCATAAGATATTATAATCCCAAAAGGGATTATTTTGAACCGCAAAGTGCAATACGATACTGCTTAAATTGAACCCTACAATCAGCTATTAATGATGACCTCTCCAACTTGCCATTTTACATCAATTTTCAATTAAAAGTTGATCGAATTAAGAACTACATGTACTGTACATGATAGTTATTTTGTTGACAATGTTTACTGGCAAATATGCCACAATCTCGGGTTAAGTTTCAACAGCCATCTTCGATATACTTGCATATGTTTAAAGCACAATGATGCCAAAAATAACATTTGTGTAGGATTAGGTTTCGGGGAAGGGAGGGTTTGATTCTCCCAAATGTACAGGCCTAGGGTGGAGCAGACACTTTATTTAGAAATTAGGATTAAGAGTCTTGATATTGGGTTTTATTCTATTCTGATCTGAAATTTATATCACATTGGAGCTTTGAGTCAATGAAGTCAACACAATTTACAGTATTAAAAATTATGATTTAATTTGATAACTTTATCTATAAACACAAGGGAATATATTATGGTATAACACACTTCTTACAAACATATTATGGTATAACACACTTCTTACAAACATATTATGGTATAACACACTTCTTACAAACATATTATGGTATAAAACACTCCTTACAAACATAATTATGGCATAACATACTCCTTACAAACATATTATGGTATAACACACTTCTTACAAGCATATTATGGTATAACACATTCCTTACAACATATTATGGTATAACACACTTCTTACAAACATATTATGGTATAACATATGGTATAACACACTCCTTACAACATATTATGGTATAACACACTTCTTACAAACATATTATGGTATAACACACTTCTTACAAACATATTATGGTATAACACACTTCTTACAAACATATTATGGTATAACACACTTCTTACAAACATATTATGGTATAACACACTCCTTACAAACATATTATGGCATAACATACTTCTTACAAACATATTATGGTATAACACACTTCTTACAAACATATTATGGTATAACACACTTCTTACAAACATATTATGGATTGTCAGTTTGATCAACAAAAACTTATACAACATTATCATAAAGGACAGGGCAATATACCAGTATCACAATTTATACAGGTGTACAGTTTAACCCTTCCACCGTCGTTCTCGTGATACTACGTCTTGGAATTAACATAAAATTTAAGAATTTTAAACTTGGCAAATTAGAGCCAGTAGATATACCTGGTGTCATATATAACATAACAGGATCCTTATATAATCCGATAAATCCAAAAACTTAGTAATTATCCATAAATATGCAATTAACTATTGTAAAACGCTGAATATCAAGATTAAGCGTTTTCCAATAATCACTTAGTTTTATGAATTTTCCAGATTTTACAGGGATTCTGTTGTAACTTTATGACACAAGGTAAGTTGACTGATGAATATATACTCATATTGACCTTTCTTGAGAATTAAATTTTATGTTCATTCTAAGACGGAGTATCACTTTAATGAATTTCCCTTGATATAGCCACTTATTGTTTGATCTAAATGAATCTATAGGAGAGATGATATCATAGAGGTGTTTTGTTATCACATGATACACAACTTGCTGTGAGAGTGGTTTGTCCTACTCAAGTCATGCAGAATGTGTTCCATTTTTAGCATATCGGGGCTAAACTGATCTCACCTATTGGTATCACTTAACTGGATATGTCAAAAACAACAACAAAAACAACAACAAAAACAACAACAAAAACAACAACAAAAAAGCAAGAAAGTTTTGCTTTATGAAGAAAGTAAAGATATTTTTTTAAAAAAATTATTGCCTTAAAGAAGGGTTTCCTTTTTTGTTAGTGACATATTAAGCAAACTATTTGATTAATCGGTGTTTCTTATGAATTATCATGTATTCTTAATCATATCATTATGTTCTTATTGCATATAATTAAGAGTTTTAACCAATCATAAATGTCCATGTATGTACAGTCTGGATAAACAAAAAAAGACTATTTAACCTTTCTTGATCGGTCACTCATTAGAATTCTCTTCTAATTTAGCAAATTATGAATTAATTATAGACTGGTATTTTTCCAAGTCATTAGAACACCTCTTCTTTCTATTCATATAAGCATTTTCATAAATGAAATTAAAGAATCTATCTTTAAATAAGTTAAAAAAAAATTCAAAATAATTTTAGGCAATGTATTTTGATTACTATTCATATACAATATGAACTGAATTGAAAGTCAAACATCCTGATTTCATATAGGGCATACAGTGTTCATTGAAAACGATTCGATATATTTTTTATGGACTTACCTTCTGAATAATTTGTTGTGGTTTTGTTTCCAATCCTTGTGTGCAACTTTCATAAACTGGTGTGAAAACCAGACAACTGAAAGCAGTGTTGGAGATTTTAATCTTTAAAAATGTGCACATTTATCCAAGTTATAGGTAGATATTTCTCATTCTTACCTTCTGAGACATCATCTATATTTCCACTTATCAATGGTATAGAATTGCACTGTAAAAAAATCCAAAAACCTTTCAGAATCTTGATTTTTGACACTTGTATTATGTTAATTCCAAATTTTACCTTTATTTTTATTTCAACTGGAATTCAAAATATCAGTGGTAGTCTTAAAATGACTTTTGCATTGATAAAATAAAATTTTATGAATGTTTCTACAACTAGAGATTAATATAAGAGGTATTGGATCACAGTTTGCTAATCAAAATAATTCTTTATGTTCTCCGATATTTTCTATGATTAGCTAAAATGAAAATTTATCACAAAATAGAGCGAATCAAATAAATTATATTTTTCATGAGAAGTTTCTAATTGATATAATGTATGTCTACATTTTGAACATTTGGAATTGTTAGACTAGAACATTTTGAATTGTTAGTCTACAACTAGAACATTTTGAATTGTTAGTCAACTACTAGAACATTTTGAATTGGTAGTCTGCAACTAGAACATTTTGAATTGTTAGTCTACAACTGGTAGAAGAACATTTGGAATTGTTAGTCTGCTAGAACATATTGAATTGTTAGTCTACAACTGGAACATTTCGAATTTTTAGTCTACAACCATAACATTCTGAATTGTTAGTCAACTACTAGAACATTTTGAATTGTTAATCAACTACTATAACATTTTGAATTGTTAGTCAACTACTAGAATATTTTGAATTATTAGTCTACAACCATAACATTCTGAATTGTTAGTCAACTACTAGAACATTTTGAATTGGTAGTCTGCAACTAGAACATTTTGAATTGTTAGTCTACAACCATAACATTTTGAATTGTTAGTGTACAACTAGAACATTTTGAATTGTTAGTCTAGAAACCATAACATTTTGAATTGTTAGTCTACAACCATAACATTTTGAATTGTTAGTCTACAACTAGAACATTTTGAATTGTTAGTCTACAACCATAACATTTTGAATTGTTAGTCAACTGTCTACAACCATAACATTCTGAATTGTTAGTCAACTACTAGAACATATTGAATTGTTAGTCTACAACTGAAACATTTCAAGTTTTTAATTAACAACTATAACCTTTCAAATACTTTGTCTACAACTGGAACATTTTGAATTGTTAGTCTATAACTAGAACATTTTGAATTGTTAGTCTACAACCATAACATTCTGAATTGTTAGTCAACTACTAGAACATATTGAATTGTTAGTCTACAACTGAAACATTTCAAGTTTTTAATTAACAACTATAACCTTTCAAATACTTTGTCTACAACTGGAATATTTTGAATTGTTAGTCTATAACTATAACATTTTGAATTGTTAGTCTATAACTATAACATTTTGAATTGTTAGTCTACAACTGGAACATTCTGAATTGTTATTCAACTACTAGAACATTTTGATTTGTTAATCTACAACTGGAACATTTTGAATTGTTAGTCTATAACTATAACATTTTGAATTGTTAGTCTACAACTGGAACATTTTGAATTGTTAGTCTATAACTATAACATTTTGAATTGTTAGTCTACAACTGGAACATTCTGAATTGTTATTCAACTACTAGAACATTTTTGAATTGTTAATCTACAACTATAAAATTTGGAATTGTTAGTCTACAAAAAGAACATTTGGAATTGTTAGTGTACAACTAGAACATTTTGAATTGTTAGTTTACAACTGGAACATTTTGAATTGTTAGTCTACGACTATAATATACTAAATTGTTAGTCTACGACTATAACATACTAAATTGTTAGTATGCAACTGGAATATTTTGAATTGTTACTCTACAACTGAAACATTTGGAATTGTTAGTCTACAACTGGAACATTTTGAATTTTTAGTCTACGACTATAACATACTAAATTGTTAGTATACAACTGGAACCTTCTGAATTGTTAGTCTTCAACTGAAACATTTGGAATTGTTAGTCTACAACTGAAACATTTTGAATTGTTAGTCTTCAACTGAAACATTTGGAATTGTTAGTCTACAACTGAAACATTTGGAATTGTTAGTCTACAACTTGAACATTTTGAATTGTTAGTCTAAAACTGAAACATTTGATATTGTTAGTCTACAACTGAAACATTTTGAATTGTTAGTCTACAACTGAAATATTTCAAATTGTTTGTGTACAACTAGAAAATTTTGAATTGCTACCAAATTTTTATGAAATGCGAGTCAAAATATGACTAGATTAACCAAAACTGTAGTTTATGTGATTTTCAATCTCTATTGAACCTTGCTCACATCTCCAAAACATTTCAAGAGAAAATTTTACAAATTTCAACCCAAATTTAAGCAAATGTAAAACTTTTTGTCAAAGCGCAATCATTTTATGACTACCACTAATAATTTGAAGCTGATACTCCCAATTCATATAAAGACACACAATCAGGTATATCCACCTTTAAAATCCAATTTCAAACATTTAGGAAGAAGTTGCTTGGGTTATCCATTGCACATGATCTGCTCCTGATACAAATAAGAAAATCAGAATAAATGAAAACTGCGTCAAATTTTAATCTTTTATACAACGCATTTTTTTCATGTGTTTTGTTTTCTTAAGTCTATTTTCCATTGTGAAAGTTTAAAATAAAAAAAGGTATTTGACAAACTTCATATATTTTTTTGTAATTCAATTATTTGATGTCTGTTTCAAATATTTTTTTAAAAATTTGTTGCAAGTGCATTTGACACAATGCCAATTTCAGGGGGTTTTAAGTTTGATTTTTATCGGCAAGCAAACAAGACCGTCTTCTACGCAATACACTGGACTTGAAAAATCGTTCAAACAAAGTTAGACAACATTTTTGTATGAAGGTGCTGGAATTCGTCCAACAAACTCAATGTTTTGATCCATTTTGTTGTCTTTGTACGTGTAGCCAATGTGGAAAGTTTACACAACCTCGAGTCCTCAAGCTCTATGGTAAAGCTATGGCCACCAGAATGTTCGGAAGTTCGACCACAGAACTTGTTTACAGATCAGGGTTCGAACAAACAATTCTGATCTTGATGTACTGGCGTAACACAAGTTCAAAACCACAAGGTTATGTTTAATCAAGTTTTTCATTCTGTTGTTCGATAAGATTCACAGTCATTTGTGACAGTGAACGCCTAGTGAGAGGACCTTTTTTTTTTTGTGTCTCGGAATTACATCGCCATTGTTGAGGAAACTTGATCAATGGTAACTACGACTTTATTTCCTTGGATTATGTTTTTATGTTTCTTCAAATCAATCTTGTTTGAAAAAGTGAAAAAAGTTTTTGATTGTTTTAAAAAAAAATCTGCACGTTTCTTGACAAATCGTGTGTTGTTGCGTTATATCGTATTTGGTTGTCTCGTTATTCAAAGTGAATTTTTTGCACTATTTGTGGATTTAGAATATGGAAACAATGTTTTAAGAAATTTCGCCAGTTTTTTTTTTTTTGTAACTTCTTTGTCTGTTTTCTTTGAGCTATCTGTTAACATGTATTTGGAAAAAAAAAATTTTGTGCAGAAGTAATTTTTTTGGATGTCAAAAATTAAGCCATATATCTTAACAAAAAAGAAATGTGATA